TTGCTTTGTAGCATGCCAATTTTTAAATTAAAATATTTTGTAAAATATCATGTGAGGCAGGGAGCGTACTAGAGGGGCACCTACCTAGCACTCCCTTAACTGAGCCCATTTACCCTAAAAGAGACTTAAACCAGTTTTAAAACAAAAGACTGTCTGTTTTACATACACACACACATGCATACACAAACTCTCAGGCTATTCCCTTCAAATATCTGTTAATTTGGCTCTTTTTCCCTCCACACTTCATTCTTCTGGAAATCAAAAGTGTCTGCCCAAGAGACTGCTGGTTTCATGGAGGATAGGTAAGAGCAGCCCTGAAAGCACTGGGACACTTCAGTCATATATTAGACTGTGGAGTTAATGGTCTTATGGGGTGGGGGAATCTCTTCAAATAGGAATGTCAAGTACTTCACTTCAGAATGGAGCAAAGATAAGCCAGGGATGCTAAGCATTTGTGGACCTTCTCTTACTCTTGTTGAATGGGGCACTGGACCTCTGCCTGAAAACTGATCCCTGCACCTTCCTCTCTTGTGTTCACTTCTGTATTCATGCACAACTTTTGGCTTCTGTATTCTCAGTGCTTTCTTTACAATCCACACAGAAGATGCTGGGAATCTCCAGGAGACTTCCATCTCTCCAGTTCCAGCATGAACATTTCTGGGATCACTTGTTGGTTTATTTTATTTTACTTTATGTTATTTGTATGCTGCCCATTCCTGAAGGCTCTAAGACCTGTAGACCTCTGCATGGGACTTCCAGAAGAAGCTTTTAGCATATGAAATTTTAAAAAAGGGAGGCGAGGGCAAACATTGACTTTCATTTGTAGGTCTCTTGTCTTTTCTCACAGTTTCTTCTGCACTTTTTCTTACCAGGAGATATAGAATCATTGCACAATTGTGTTTGAATGGCAATGTTTAGCTCAAATTTTCTTTTCTCCTTGATTATGAGTAAATATGTACCATTTAGAGGAGGAGGATATCTATCAATGCAAGGGAAAAATGTATAAATCATTCTCCAGATTATGATTTTTTTAAACTGTGAGCATCCATTTAAAAACGTATCGGTGCATGAACAAATTCAGTAAAGAAAGACAGCAAGTAAGCAAACCCTAGCCAGAAAAGGCATGAAGAGCACTTGACTTTTACTCTGAAGGAAAAATCATTCTCCACAATCTTAACTTTTTCTGCAATTTTAGCAAAGAGCCATATTTTAAACCCCACACAAGGTGGGAAAGCATCCACAGCACAGTACAGAAAGGGACAACAAGAGAGATTTTAATTCTCTTAATCAGCTGGAGAGTGTGGAGAAGCAGTTATATCCAGGTTGTCTGCAAAATCGCAGGTTTATTAGATTTATATTAATTGAAAGAGAGAGACAGTGGCTTTTAATTTAGATTATTGTAGCAAGGAGAGGGGGCAGCTTCCAACCTGCTCCTCATTATCTGTCTCATCTCACATTATTGTGTTTTCATGCGACATATATTTTCAGGGAAATGGACATCAGAAAAAAATCAAATTGGGGCATACTTTGGTGCAAGAGATGAGGAGTGGCCAGATTTCCTAACTAGTCTTCCAAATGTCATATGTAAGTTCGTGGTGTTATAGATTCTCCCTATACTGTAAATTGGATGAATTCAGACATATGGGAGAGGTAGGCTGGCAGAACTACCAATTTTCAAAATCAGAAAGAGGGACATCTTTAGTTATTTATTGCGCCTCACACAGCAGGTTTGCCATGACAACATGCATGTTGCTTTTTGCCTTTATCTCTCCAGGATACAAATGCTACCCCCCAAGCTCCAGAGGATAATTTTCATACAAAGGGTAAAATCTGCTTTGAGTTGAGCTCCTGGTGACTTAGTGGATAGGACCATGGAATGCTCTTATTGTATTTAATCAGTTTCCTAGCTCCTTAACTGGCAAAGCAGAGGGGACACCTGTTAAGACTCTTGAGATCAGATGTCAGGTAAGTTCAGGTAGCTGCTGCCACCCCACTGGGTGGTCTTCATATAGGCTCAATTAAGCAAGACATTCAAATAATGTCTATTATGTTTGTATCACAGTAGAGAACCTTATATTGCCCAATTGTAGGAAAAGCTTTGAGGCCACATTCCAAGCTTGACAGGGCAAAATTTAAAATAGAGCAAAAAAAAGACTTTCAAATTAAGCAAGAACATCCGTTGAAAAAGTAGTATTCTGCAATATGTTATGATTATTAATATGCCATTTGCACCATAATTAGGTTGCCTTTGGCCTTAATTTGCCACAAAAAGATAATGCCTCCAGCAATAGAAGGAAAATCAACCCTTTGTTTTAAAAATGAGCATTGAACAAATGTAACCAGAAAAAGACCTGGGGCAGGGGTGGGGAGAAGTAAAAACAAATGGTATCCAAAAGAAATGCAATGAAGCTGTTGAAATTAATTTAATAATTCCAGCTGCTGGAGAGCCAGGTTTTTCCCAGGGTGGGATTTTGCTGTGGAACTGCACTCTGTAAAGCGGTGCTATCACGTCCTGTGTTCTTGACACTAGACCTCTCTCGACACAGCCCAAGACTACATTGGCTCTTTGGCAGCTGCGGCACACTGCTGGCTGATGCCAAGTCTGTGGTCCACCAGGATGCCCAAATCCTTCTCCCAAGTACTACTGCTGAGCCAGCTACTAACTTGACTTGTGCATTTGGGTTTTCCTGTCTTACATTTACCTTACATTTCTCACCATTTAATTGCATATTGTTGGATAGGGCCCAATATTCAAGTGTACCAAGACCCATTTGAACCTTGAGCTTGTCTTCTGAGGTATTAGCAATACTACCTCCATTCCTGCCCCCTCCTTTGCATCATTGACATCCCTTCTGTTTCCTCATCTAAGTCATTTAGGAAAATGTTGGAGCGCTACGCCCAGGACAGAGCCCTAGGGTACCCTGCTGCATACCTCCTCCATGTTATCATTGATCCACTAAGGGCCACCTGTTGGTATGGTTGCCCAACTGCAAATCCATCTAGTAGTGAGACAGTCTCATCCCACATTGTTCTGTGTTATCAAGAAGAAAGCAGTGGACAATTTGAGATAGTTCTAGGTACGGTTTTACTGTGCCAAATCTTGTACCATAGATAGTTGTTTATCCTTTGTTTTGGGATTACCATGATGCAGCCAAGATGTATTCATAGCTAGCCCAAAGCGTTTGCTGCCCCAGGTATTTGCAAAATCCAAAAAACCCCTCCCACAAAGTGCAAGTGATTTGAGGGCTAGGACCCAGAATTTCAGATTGTCTGAGTTTATGTGGATTCAGCTGAGGGTTGCCGCCCCACTGCTTTAGCCAGGAAACATATGCTAGAACGTGCTGAACTCTGGTCCTTCTCATGGAAAGGAGCTGTGCTCTGCCTGCTGTTGAACTAAGGAACTGATTTCACAAAGAAATTGGCCTTGATCCTTGTGTTGCTTTATTAGCATCTCAAATTATAGCATCATTCAGAACCAACAACTGAACTGGGAGGTAAATAAATAAATTACATCAGTGGCATTGTTTTGGCCCCATAGAAGTTTGGGGTACAGATTTCAAAGAAGGTGGGGAGGTATTATTAACCAATGTCCCAAGTATGAGGTGGTCAACATCTGGTCAAATTTTGGCATTTCTTTTTTTAGAATGTGCAACACTAAGAGCTTGAAAAAGGTGTGAATTTGACTGTTGCTAGTCTGTGGCTCCTAAACCCTTCTCTGCCTCATTTTCTGCCATTTTCTTCCTGGGTTCTGGCTCTGTCCTCCCCTGTTTTAGCCTGATCTGGCCATAATCCAGGACTCCAGTGGTCCTTGTGAGGAATCCAAGTAGAACAGGAAGACCATCAGCCTTAAAAATGCAGCTCAGAGTCAAAACATTTTTGAAAATATTAATGCAGCTTTAGCTTTGGCCCTGGTTAAAGGTTTGGATATTTAAAACATTATGAAGGCCCAGTCTTTGTAAGGATTGAGGCAGCTGGTGGGATATTTCTTGCAAGCCTTTCCGATGCTTGACATTCACCTTCAGATGCATTTTGAAATGTTCAGTCCCAGAGGTAACTATTATGGCTTTCCTACAAATGAAGACAATGATCTGGTTGGCCCCACTAAAGTCAGTGTTTGTTACTCAGTTCTGACCAGATTATCCAAATCCTGACTTTGCTCAGAGATAAAACTCTTGCTTTCCCGATTGTGAAATCAGCTTCTCTGCTCCAATCAGAATCTGTGAAAGGTGATTCCCCACAGTATTCAGGAGTTAGAAAGGAGCCCTCGGATGCCTTCTACCCCTGATCTTAGCCAAGAGGGCTGGGGTGGCAGAGAAACCCCAGCGCTTGAGAGCTGTTGGTCCCATGTGGCAAGAAATAAAGGACAGGCTATATCCTGCTGCAGCTTCATGTTCCTGCCTGGATGGGAGTAGCAACAAGAAGTCTGAGTTCCTGATGAATTTGAGAATTCATGAATTAATAGCAAGTCAAAGGTGAAGTTAGAACAGAAGAGATGAACTGGCTGGCACTGTGTGCTTATTTTGCTGTTTTATAAGCCCTGGCTTATAAGGAGGGAGAGAGAGAGATTGGGCTTAATCTGAATGTTGCTTTCTCTAAATAAAGGAAATAAACCTAGGAGCGTGTAAGCAAGTGTACCGGGGTGGTCTTTGCTAACCAGTGTTAAGAGTCTGAGGCTTGCAAGAGACCAAAGGAACAAGATCTGTATGAAATTGTGTAAACAGGGAGTGCTCATTTTCACAGTACAAGTACTGGAACAATACTATTTGGGGTGATTCAGAGTCGCGTTTTCTTGTTCTGTTGGCTTTTTTGTATATAGTAGCAATTGCTGGACTACTGTAACAGTTTGATAGTGACTTGAGTCTGAATATTCTAAGGCAAATTTATGTATTCACATATACATTTATCTTATTCAGTTTCCTTTTGCAGAATCAAGTGACCTTTTCCCATTTTGGGGGAAAAAAATGGAAGATCACATTGCCTTCTTAAATTTTGTTTTGCAGGGTCATTGATACATTGGGACTGTTGGGTAGGAAAGAAGGGAAGACAAAAGAGAGACAAACATGTGGATTCAGCCTCTGTCTCCTCTCTCCAGGCAGCAGAGATAGGAAAGTAATTCTGATCCAGGTGAGAAAAACCTTTCTTGTTCAGGCAACTATTATGGCTGCTTTTGTGATGTTCAGTCAAAGATTGTTTCCTTTTTATTAGTGTAATAGAGTACACATCCTGGCCTCAATTTGAAGAAAACTGCAGATTACTCCCAGCTGCTGAATGGAGCTGTGCCTAAAACACCCAGTTTTCATTACTGTGTTGGAGGGCAATGGATCATTTTTTTCCTCCAGCCACTTGAGACAGAGACCTGGGACAACAAGGTGATGGGTAACAGTTGCCTTACCTAACCTGCTGTAGTAATATTCTAAGTGAGTCGAGTGACTGTATTCAGGTTGTTCAAAGATGATTAGCTCAGGGTCTAGGATAGTGTTTCTCAACTTTGACAACTTGAAGGTGGGTGGACTTCAACTGAAGTCAACCCATCGTCAAATTGCCAAGGCTGAGAAGCACTGGTCTAGGATCTGGCTCATTAAATCTAATTTCATTGTAACATGTTCAGGACCCATCCCTATTACACAACACAAGATTTAGTCAGTCAGTGACAGAGCTGGAATACAGTGTGAATCAACCTCTGAAGTTCAGAACATGGTGTTTTTAAACTGATGGTGAAAAAGAGTGCTTGTCTGATCTGGAATTTAAGGCAGAAGACTAACTTCCTCCAAGGGCAGTTTCTGAGTAAATGGCAGGAATTCATCATGATCTGGTTTGAGTATCTGGCAACTGTGGATGATTAATAGCTTCTCAATAATGATTCACTGAGAATGAATTAGTATTCATTACTCCCTAATCAGATAAGTGAAAGCAAAAATAAACATCTGAAGGCAGCTTTGGAACAGGAAAAGAGATACACTGGGGAATTAATGGCTTGAAAATGTGGTCACAGAGAAGTCAGGGCTTCATGGCCATGATTGTCCAAGAATCCAATCTGGAAGGGCCTACCTGAAATTGCAACCACTCAGAACAAGGCCCAGGCTACAAAGAAAATTGGGGAAGATAATGCCAAGTCAGTCACTTGGTTAAAGATTCTTTGCCTATAGATTCGTGTATTGGGAATGAACATGGAGATCATCCCTGATAACATCCTGTAAGGCTCTGAGAGGAGGGGGTGGGGCAAACAGCTTCACACTTCAGTACAGGTAGTCCTTGTTTGGTGACTGCCTCATTTAGCGACCATTTGCAGTTATGATGGTGATGAAAAGTAACTTTGCTCACTGAGCAGAGAATGTCCCTGACTCTGGAAATGGGCGGGGGGAAAGAGTGAATTTGTTTGTTTGTTTGTTTGTTTGCCAGTTATATGCTGCCCCAGTCTGGGCTGCATACAAAGCATAAAATAATAAGGGAAAAATACAACTAGATCAATGAATAACTGCTTTATGGTAGCTCCTCAACAATGCTTCTTATGCCCCAAAGGCTCAGTGGAAGAGCACTAGTGAGACTGCCTTGCCTTCTGAAAACTTAGCAGGAAGGAGGCCACTTTGACTTCAGGATGGGCAAAGTGGAATGGAGTATTCTGGAAAGAGTGGTGGATGCTGGATATACTGAGGCAATGACTCAGGCAGATGATTTGTGGGGTCATGAAAAGGCAGCAGGTTCTAAGTTCTCCAGAGGAACCCCTTTCAGATTTCTTCAGATGCCAAAGCAACACAGCTTGTCGTGGGTACCAGGCACTTACAAGGCCAGACAGCAGACTTTCACCTCAGAGAGCAAAGTGATTGCTGCAGGTTCTGATTGACTGATTCCCTGAGGATCCTCAGTCATTGGAAGGATCCGGTGATCTTACAATCTGCTTCTCAGCCATTCGTGTTCTCTGTCCCACTGACCTGTGGAAGGGATGCCAAATTTCTGCTTTCCCAAATTGGCTTTTTAGCTGCTTCAGTTACATTCTGACTGCAAACTCTTTGTTCCCCTCACTATTTCCTGCTCCAGGAAAATCCTGGCTGCTAAACTTCTGGCTCCCTGCTATCCCATCAGGTTGATGTTTCAGCCTCTGCTCCTCCCCCATCATTGTGAAGATCTCTCTGTGGGTAAGAGGAAGTTCTCATGTAACAGCCTACAAAACTGTTTATTTTTGGAGAAAATTGCTTCCATATAGGGGGGAAAGGCCAGCACTATGTTCTGACTGTCTCTTAAAGAACTCTCTCATCCTGCTGTTTTCACATACACCATCTACTCTGGGCTAAAATGTTCAGTTTCCTCTTTTCCTTCCTCAGCAAATCTTGGACTTACTATGTCATTACTCCATGGCTCTTATTCTTGGAACTGTGTATTAGCCATCTTTTGGTAACTTTCAAATTAGAGTGCACATGCAATTAACTTTGAAGACTCTAGGAAACTGAACTTATCCACAATACAGCTTTGGGATCACTCAGAATTCAAAACAGCTTTACTGACCCTCTACCCATTTCCAAACTCAGTTCATAGCATTGATTCTTATTTTAAAACCTGAATGACTGAATTTGGCTATCTTATGGATCACTGCTTCCCATGTAAACTTGCTTTCACCTTTCTTACCACCTTTGGAGGCATTAATTTGGATCAAATAGATGGTTACTTGAGAGCTTTTTCAATTGTGCCCCCCTGTCTTTAGGAATGCCCTCACCAGGAGCAAATCCCTTAAGTCTTTTGGAGCTAGGCAAAAATGTTTTTGTTTTCCCAGGTATGTGTGGGAGTGGGTGTATTTGGCTGCCCATTCTGTTACTGTAAAATTATCTCTTTACTGATTTACTCTGATAACTATTCCTATTTTTTCAACTGTATTATTTTTTTAGTCCATTCTGAAGATTTCATTGAAAACCAATTTATTGTTATTATTTTTGTTGTTATTGGTAGTCACATCTAGCTATCTCCCACCTTTCCTCTGGGAACTCAGGGTGGTCTGCGTGGGAGTCCCCCTTCATTTTATCCTGGCCAAATATGTAACCTGCTCAAGTCACCAAGTGAGTTTCCATGGTTGAGGGTGGGCTTGAAACTGAAACTCCCAGTCCTATTTTAACAATGTGCTTCTTGGTTTTATATCCTACAGAAGCATCGTATTTGCTTCAGTCTCATGAAATCTCCAAATCCTCATGTCACCTCTAATGCTCCCTTGTCTCTGTCCATTGTCTTTAGTGTGGTTCTCCTCATCCTCACCCGTTCTCTCCAACCTTCTTCCAACCCCTGTTGTCCTGACCAGCAGATCATTCAGCAGTAATTAACCACTATGTCATGGTCAGGCTGCCCAAGCAATCTATAATATCTTTTAGGATGACAGTAAGAATTGTAGCTTGATTCAAGAAGTATGCCCTTGAATCCCTGATAAGCTTGAAGAGGATGCTGGCAGATTTAAGTACATGCAGTCCTTAAATTAGCCCAGTATTCACTGCAGAATTGCAAGGAATTCTAAACCAAACAATTTCTGAGATTAAACAGTATAATCCAGAGGGAAGGGGAGGGAAGTCCTTTGTTCCAGCCTAGCCCATTTTAAAACAATGCGTCTGTTCTTCCTTGGGCCAATGTTTTGCATATCATGCCTGAATTTCCTATGGCAAAACAAGATGGTATTTAAAGTTTTGCATTCTGGCTTTACTTAATTGTAATTACATGGTGATCTGTAGCACTGAATGGAGGAAGTCACCCTTTACCCCAATACCCTTACTTGTTAAAAGAAAAATGCACATATATACAGACACTTAGAAACCATGCAAATGTGGGTTTCATTACTAAAACTGTCCATTGATGCCAGTGGACTTTTTTTCCATTGTAAAAAAAAGGGTAGGTAAAAACAAGAGCAGGTTGGCTGAAGAAAAAGGCTATTCCACCTTGTGCTTAGTATTTGTGGATTGTAAGTAAAACTGGAAATGAAGCAGGACAATATGGATTTAAATTCATATTGAACCAAAATAAATTTGATCCCATATCACCATGCTTTTTCAGAATTGTTGCTTCTGCCTACTTCCAAGAGTACTGCAGCCTTGGGGGTCCGTATGTTGGGCACAACATCTCTGCTTTTTAAGGGGGCAGGGCTCTGGCTTACTGAGGGGTTCAGACGTACCTATGTACAGTATGCTTAAGCACACAGGATCTAATGTTAACCCATTAGATCCTGTGTACTTCATTGATACATGGGATAAGAAGCCATTTGTGGGGAATCTCAGAACTGCATTACAGTTTACCTGAAACTTCTGCAGTTCCCTGTGCCAAATGGAGCCAAGGCTAAAAATAATTCCTCCTTCTCCTCTTCCTCCTTCCACACTACTATTGCTATGTACTACACTACTAATACTATTCAGGATTAATCTGTTTCTATGCTAGATATTATTGATCTTGGGCTACTAGCTTGAGATTTAGTCTAAAATGGCATCAGTTTTCCACCCCATCCTATTTCAGCTAAGTCCCATCATTCTGACTAGACTTCAGTAAAGAAGGGGTTAGAATGCCCCTCTTGTGTCCCTTAAACACATGGTTTGTTTCTTTCTCTTGCCTGCACATGGTTGATACTTTTTTACCAGAGGACAAATTCCCAACTGTGTGCTCCTTTACATGCTGCTTCTCGTAAAGCCTAGCAGACTTTGCTTCTGCCTAAGAGGACAAACACCTCTGGCATCTTGAGTGTTTACCTGGGTCTTCTGAGACAAAGGAATAGAACCAGGCCAATTAAGGGTATCATAATCCATACTGTGGCAAAGAAATCTGCATAGACTTGTCCTTGAAGTCATCGGGAGCCAAGCTGAACTTTAAAAAGTTGCTTTTGCATCTGTGTTGGTCCCATTTAATGTTGGTCCCATCTGATATTGGGAATTATATCCAGAGTTGCTATTGCTTCTGCAAGCTATTTCTATGCCTTTTTCAAGTATGAGCAACAAAAAGAGGTCTTTTTTAGCACTTCATTTCTAGTTGGGATGTTGCAGGTAACTGAAAAGAAGTCCTCATGAAAACAAGGAACCTTATTGATACTTCTAATGAGCAGACATGATTTGCACTGTGGATACTTAATTCTGAAGAAATGTCAGGCCAGCCTTCGCAACCCTGCTCAAAAA